TAGATTCCCAGTACATGGGTATTCTCTATCAATCATATATTTCTTTGGGACAGCTTTGAATTTATTAATTAAATGTTACAATGCTTTTACATTTTCGTGTGTTATAACCTCAAAGGTAAATTTTGATCTTCTTGAAGGCAGTAGCCATTTCCTAAAATTCCTTTTGTCACCTAAGATAGCTAGCACAGTGTCCTCCATGTAATAAACACACAATTAATGTTCCTTTAATCATTGATTTCTAAAATATTTAAGATGTAAGCAGACTTTATACATGAAGAAACTGAGGTTCTAATTAACATGCCTAAACATGGCAGGCAGCCAGTCACAGATCTGGTTTGCTTGATAATTAAAGATCTTTTTTTAATTATACCAAAGTTACATTCTTTTGTTACTTGATTGGTTGCTCCTAAGCCAAATAATTTATGAAATGCACCAATTTTAATAAAGTATATGTATATATGTTTGCATGCATATAACTTCATATATGTATCCATAAATAAAAATAGGTATAAATAATTGAAGTTTCTATGGAGATATTGATATTTCAAGGACAACTCTAGAAAATTCCATTTTAATGTTTTGAAAATTAAGAAACAATATGCAATAATTGTGATAACATAGGGTCATTGAAATTTTTAATTCACTTTGAGTGACATGACCAATATCCTGATGAGAACCAAATACTATAGAAGTCTCCAATTCCTGTTAAATCTTATGGTCTAACATATAGCACTGTAAAAATATCATTATAAACCTACATTTTCTCAGAAGGTGGATAATAGCTCAATTTAATTCGTATAGTAAACGTAGTGGACAATTGCAAGATCAACTATACAATGAAGGCTTTAATACAGTTAAGTTATATGTGAAAAACATGGAAAATAATGTTACTGAAGAAATAAAATTAACAAATATTTTTAAGCCAGGAATAACTTGGGTTCTGGTTAAAGCTAGTCTGACATACACCAGATTTATCCTTTTAAAATGCTTTATCGCTGGGCAGTTTTATGTTAATGTCATACAGTGTTACTTACCATCTTTCAGAATGGTTTCTCGCTCTGTTCCATCTATCTTCTGCCGGCCAATTAAGAAACTGGTGGTGTCAGCAAAGTAGATATAATTGGTTTCTGCGTGGAAATCTAAAGCACGAGGGTTTACCAGATTTTCTATGGGGATCATGTACTCATCAGCTATCTTGGTATTCAAGTCCATTCCTCTAACAATTCCTGGGCGTCCTTTCCCATAAAAGAGGAACAACTCATTCTTCGGTCCTGCAGAAGAAAGATTGCAAACATAAACAACTGATGCTGCCTAATCTTCTTTACACTGCATAATGCCACTGTTTAATTAACTGGCACAATTAGCGTTTTTAAAATTCAATACTAAAAATTAAACTCTAAAATATGCCAAATGTATCTTGATGCAGGAAGGCCAGCTAGTTGCATTACTTTAATTAAAGAAATTACTTCTGTGAATGGGTTATATTTAGTTAATTATTCTTCTGTCTGTAATTGTCTGTATAGCAAAAACATGACAGATCATTGGATAACTTGAAATTTGCAAAATGGACATTTATTAAAACATCCAGCACATTTAATTTTATAATTTATTACAATCTAACACTTTCTTTAGATACTAACTGTAGCATTCATTATTTTTGACAATGTTAAAAACTTCAGAACATTTGAGACACACCACTCCACAGTGTGCATCTACAGACTGCCAGAGTCACACAAAAAGAATCATACAGTATCACTAACTTGCATGTGAATATATTACAGTTGCCCAAACATATGTCCTATTCTTTAAAGAAATAAAATCAAATGCCAGTTATAGCATGACTTTTTTTCACATTTTAATTAGAACGTTAAAGGCTGATGCTGTCTGCCAGTAACTCTGATGTACAACACAGGTTTTATCAAAAATAAAACAAAAAACAAAAACAAAAACCCCAAACAAAAAGCTGTCTCCTGAGTTGAAAATGCCGGAATCAAATTAGCTTTTTCTACAGGATGAATTGACTCTTTTAGATTTCTATATGAAAATATAGGCCGGTTAGCTCAGTTGGTTAGAGTGCAATGTTGATAACACCAAGATCAAGGGTTTGGATACCCATAATGGCCAGCCGTCAAAAAATACACACACACACACACACACACACACACACACACACACACACACACACACACACACATATATATTAGACACACACAGGCATACACAATACACATAAGCCTTTCCAGTTACTAGAAAATCTCATGCCTGGTTTATTCTATATAATTTTAAAATATTTACTTTATGAGAAATGGAAAACACAGATTTATTAGTAAAACTGAGGATACAAAAGATTCAGCTGTATTTAGATAACAATAATTGAGATTCTTGAGAAAGCAAAATAATTATATTGTAGAAAATTTGGGAAACAATAAAAGAAAAAAATAAGCAGTTTCTCATCAACCTAACCCCCGAGCACAAACTACATTAACACTTTATATATTTCCTTTCTTTCATTTTTCTTTTAAAATTAGTATTACTGAATACTGAATATATTAAAAGAAATATATTGATTTATTAATATATTAAAATATGTTTTAACATATTTTAATAACTTTTAACAACATATTTTAATAACTTTTTTTGGGGGGGGGCAGCAAGGACCGTAACCCTTGGCTTGGTGTTGTCCACACCCACGGCCTCAGCTCTCCCGAGTGAGACACAGGGTCAGCCCTTAATAACATATTTTAACATACAAAGAATAAAAATGGAACAAATCCCAGGTACCTAGCACAGATCTCCAGAATATTGCCAGTACACTGGAAGACATGCATGTGCCCCAGACCTACCTTCATCCATTTTTGGAGATATCCAATATCCTGATTGTTGTGTTTATCGCATATTTTTAAGAAGAGTTTTGGTACATATATAGTGTATTTGCCAACAGCAGATTTTTAAATTTTGTATGTTTGAATGGCATCTGTGAACTCTGTGAATTAATTTTATTCTTATTATATTCTTGATATTCAACCATGCTTGTCGTAGTCATAGTTCATTTTCATTTCTGTATAGCATTTCTTTGTATGACTATTTCAAACTTAACTTATCTAGCTATTTTTCTAATGCATATTTACTCACATAAAAGAGGACACAATGATATGTTCTGCTTTTTTTGTTTAATCTTAGTATCAAAATTATTTTCTGTTATCATTATTTTAAGCTTTACATTGTTCCTCTTTGATATATGATAATTTACACATAAAAGAGGACACAATGATATGTTCTGCTTTTTTTGTTTAATCTTAGTATCAAAATTATCTTCTGTTATCATTATTTTAAGCTTTACATTGTTCCTCTTTGATATATGATAATTTACTAAGCCATTTTCTGATTGGTTTTATGTTTTCATTATAATAATACCGATATAAGCGTATTTTTTTTCAGCCAAACATTTTACACATTTTCTTAGATGGAATTACAGGGTAAAGAGTATTAACATGACTCTCCTCATTGCCCTCATAGCCTCCCCATGTCTACTTGATTGCAAGGGTGTATTCTTTTAAAATAATATTTTAAATGATTTAAAAGTAGTACTGACTTACGTGAAAATTGTTAACATTTCTTAGTATTTCCTGCCAACATTGTATGCATATGTACTTTTGTTTTTTCAAAAATTATGATCTTAACATACTCATTTTTTAAATTTAATGACATTTTTCAGGTCACTGAAAAGTCTTTAAAAAATATTATTTTTTCCGATGGCAGCATAATATTTGCTACTAGAGAGGCAATATAACATAGTCAGCTACATATCTATTGTTGGATATTTAGATTGTTTCTGAGTTTTTGTTATTATAAATACATTTACAGTGAATTTCCTTAATTAAAAGCAGGATAACTTGTCAAATGATATTATTAGTTTTGCAGCTGTTGTATATATTACCAAATGTCTTTCCAATACTGCTATCAATTTCTGATTCTATTAGCAATGCATAAGAATGCTGGTTTCACCATACCCAATCTTGCTAACATTTGTTCTTATTTCTAATGAATGTTTTAATTGGTAATTGGTAAACCTGCTACTTCATTGATTTAGTATGAATGCGTGTGTGTATCTGCATGTATATGTATGTATGTTTTAAATAAGAATAGTAACTATTTTCTCATTGTTTTCTTTGGTCATTTTCTTGGGCATTCTTCAATACCTACTTTAAAGTTTCTTGTATTATACACAATTCAAAACTAAAAACTGTATTTCACAGACACTCATAGCCAGGGTTCTGGTTATCATTTAAGTATGTAAAATCAGATGTACTAGCTCAAGTCTGAAATATGAAAATGAGCAATTGCCCTCTTTTTTGTATTAGGGATGACTGAATCACATGTTACTCTGATCTTACATGTTTCACCAAGTGTGTGTTTGTAGGTATGAACATATGTGTGTGATGGTACTTTTACATAACACACTATCACTTCCCAAGTGGCAACCAGATCAGTTTAAAAAATCACACACACATGCATATACACACATGCACACACAACTTTTCTCACCTTGAGGCTTCAGACCCAATACTCTCAATTATCCAGAAGGCCTCAGGAACATGAGACCGGGTATCTTTACATTTCCAGCATTTAATACAAAATCAGAAATGTAAATTGAAAATACAAACGAAGTACAGTCAAGTGCTGCATAACAAAGGACCACACATATAATGGTGGTCCCATAAGATTTAATACTGTATTTTCACTGTACCTTTTCTATGTTTAGATAGACAAATACCATTGTGTTACAATTGCCTACAGTATTCAGTACAGTAACATACTATACAGTTTTGTAGCCTAGGAGAAATAGGCTATATCACATGGTCCAGGTGTGTAGTAGGCTTTACCAACTGGGTTTGTGTAAGGACACTCCATGAGGTTTGCAAAACTATGAAATCACCAAACAACACATTTCTCAGCACGTATCCCTGTCCATAAGATATACACAACTATACTAAAATGCATATATTTGATTACAGTCAAGCCCCTTGGGTTCTTGATTTAAAATTGTACTATTATTAATTGCAATCGTTTAGACTTAAAATTCTAGCAAGTTTAGTGGTCTCATTTCACAGTCCTCAGCAAACACATGGCAAGAAAATGGAATAGAATGCAGGATAGTGACCAGAGAAGGAACACTGACAGAAATAAAAAAGCTGTCTCTATGACAAAGGAGCAGACAAACAGGACATTGTAAAAAGCAGTTGTCGTAACTTTAAAAATAATGGTATTTGGGGGACCATTTAGAGACCAACAGTCTCCACAGGGACACCAATTCTTCCAGAGCCATTCTAATATAATGGATTACAAAGACTCCAAGCCAAGTCCTTAACTTATTTTTGTGCAAAATAGTAAGTTACAAAAGTCATTTAAAAAAATCTCAGCTTACTTAAATAAGCAAAAATTAAAATATTCTGACATATTGCAAAAATAAAACAAAGTTATATCTAACAAATAAGAAAACTTTTTGATAAAATTGTTAGAGAGATTGATATTCATTAGTATAGCTTCAGTTACCTTGACAATTAAATTATGAAATGAACTTCGCTCCCCTATGATGTTGGGTAAGGTAAAGCATTACTATAGTAGATTTCTGCTGGACCAAACAATACACCTATTACTAGGACAGCACCTTAGTTCAGATAAGAGAAAATCTGGTCAACCAATGATTCTAGCTCATTAGCCCAAAAACATTCTTCAGGGAATTAAAAAAAATAATCTTCCTAAAAATCTTCCCTAAAGTATGTTCCCTAAGATCAATACATTTAGTGATTCTGCTGATTCATTTCCCATTCACATTATCACTAAAGAAAACTAAGTACCAATTTTGAGAAGAATGACCAGTATATCATTGCAGGCAAATTTCACCTAACTTTCACATTATTACTGATGTTGATGCTGCTAATTAATACTGAAAATCCTGTTCCGGAGTGGTAGCTTCTGGCAAAATGTTTGATATTAACAACGTACTTTTGCATGACCTGCCATCACTTCCCAAGTTGAAGCCAGTCCTGCAGCGACAGGTCCGTGTTTTGTAACTGTTGCTGAGCAGACAGATGTGTGAACATCCCCCTGGCATTCCATACGGATCCACTTCACATGCGTGGCTTCTGACTATAACAAATAAAAAACAGCTCTCTTGAACTTCTCCAAAGACAAGATAATCATGTGCATCAGCATGTCAAAACTTTTACAAGGTAGGAACAGAGAATCTTAGCAAAATTCCCTATACCCAACTATTTAGTACCATAATCAAATGGAAAAAAGTTTAAACCCCATAGGAGACGAGAGAGGAATTTGCGAAAAATTCTCCTAAGACTGCATTTTAAAAACGAATTCTAAGAAATAAATGTATTTATATTAAATTAAACTGCTCACATGTAATCAAAACAAAAGTGACATGATTTTTTGGTATGCGCTTGTTGTACTTTTTTAAATACTAATTTCTAAAAAAAGTATAAAAACATACATAAAAAATAATCCCAGGTTAGGTAGTAAGCAAAGAAAGAATTTCCTTTGAAAAAATCCATCACATGGGCACTTAAACTAGAAGAAATGTGATTCAGTGATTATCTGTACTCTGTTGAGAAGTGCTGAGGCAAAATGTTTTTTTTTTTTTTAA